TTTGTAGAATGCGAAATGTTTTGTGTGGGTAACGACTCAGATAAATCGTTTTCTTGATGACAGTATATCTTTAATATTATAGAAATCATCAAAAAGCCTCACTAAATTATAAAATCAGATCGAAGTTTTAAACTGTACTTATTTATTGACAGATATGCCATTATCTATGAAAAACAAATATAAATATCAGAATACATTGGTTTTAAAACCATATCGATGTGGTGACAGTTTATTTTATAATTAAACGGCAAATTTTACACCTATAATTGTGCTGTCGTAGGCATGTGTTTTATTTTTTGTGCGGTAGTTGAAAATAAGAATTAATTGCTTATGGCTTTAACAAAAATAGTAACAATATGCCTTTAGTTATTAATCACATTTTTATATACTTGTATTAACAACAGTTTACTTATCTGTTACTGATTTGTCGAGGTGTTATATATTTTCACATTTTTACATTTTTTTTTTTTGATGTGTTTGATTTTCCAAAGTTGAAATATTGGTGAGTCAATTTTCAAAGGTAATTCAACCAAGAACAATATCAACTACTCTTATTGGACCATACCTTAACGAATGAAAAATTTGCCTACAGTTTTACACAATAATAAATTTTAGCGGCTCAAGTTATTTTGGTTTTATAGAAAGACGTAACTTTTCTAAATTTAAAAGGGATGCGCCATGGAAATTTTGAATTTGCCTTCCTTTTTCTGTTGTTTATTTTACGCACTTTATTTACGCCAGTAGAACAATTTTTATACCAACTACCTCACTTACCCCACAAGACAGATTGTAAGTTGCAAACATAACTAAAAACGAATCTTACAGAATAGAAGCTTGAATTTTCCAAGTTCGAATTACAATCTACATACGAGTATTTGCTCTAGCAGAAACAGCTATTGCAACTCTCCTGTATTTAGACGAAAAGTGAAGTTTGTAAAGTGTGTTTTTTCACTAAAGTTGTTGTGGAATTAGCAATTCGAAGAAACTGTTGCGTTACCCGATTTTTCAACGAAGAATGCAAAGATGATAATTCCGAATGAAAACTTAAAACTTAACTGACAATGTAATGAAACTGCGACCTCAATGGAAATGAGAGCACTCAAAGATTACCAATTAACATTACATTTGGAAATAGGAAATTTAATTAAGGATGAAGTGAAGAATCAAATTAGCAGTTATTTGATTGGGATTAAACCATTAAACCAACATAAATAAAGATCCGCTATTATGAAAAGGACTTGTCACTGAAGATGATAAAAACTCATCAACCACATCTGCCAAGAAAAACGAAGACAATGATTCAGCGCAAAAAGGTTTGTGAACCAAAGAAAATAATAATTCCCAAGGAAAAGTTTAATCATCCGGAAAAATCCATATCGTCTAAGAGAGCAACAAGAAATAAGAAAATGAGTAGGTATTACACAAGAAGTAACAGATCAGTTAACGCATGGCAAGAAGCTCGAAATAAAACTAGTGTTTGGAGTGGGTACTTTATTAATTTTTGCGGGACCCGAAAAACAGAAAGCTCTTTGTTGATGCAGTACATGCAGCATACAAGCAAAGTTTGCCAACACCAACTTCGAAATAACACTAATTAAGGAAAACCAAACAGTATAAGTTCTACCATAACTAGAAGATCTTTAAACCAAGACAAAATACGACAAGCAATAAATAACACTTATGAATTATATCGTAACAATGTTAATTAATAATTAACTCGTCGAACTATCTATCCGGTGAAGAAGTTCGCTACCTTATTTATTTATAAGGATAGAAAAAGATTACAATCAAGTTTTTTATGTGTAAATTTGTATAATTTGCAAGAAAATAATTGACTACTCTAATGCGATTAAAAATTTTACAAAATTGTGCTGGAGGAACAAACAATATGGACGAACGCTTAAATCGTTGAATAGAGTTCCGTAAGCTCCAAAAACACCAAAATGGCAACTGTAAATCATGTTTGCCATAATTTTTGTTTTGTTATAGGTATTTTTAGCCTATTTTAGGTTACGAAAACTCTTCTATGAGTTCGGCTAACTTTTAGTGTTCAAAATAAGCATGGTAAGTATTTCTGTAACCGAAACAACGTTGCTGGAGCAAGCAAATTTATTTGTCTGATTGTGTGTTTGTTTATGTTTACAATATTTTCGTTACATTATTTTTAGATAGCATAATTTCATATTATGAGATGAACCTTGTATTTTTATGATGATATTATTGTTTTGATTTTAAGTACACAAAACATGTATAAATAGCTATGTAAGGACTTCTCTTTTCAAGTGGCATACAAATGAATTAGAACAATGTTTCAATTCCGTACAAGATAAATTTGAATACATATTGATGATATTTCCCAAAATTTTACTGCATATTTTCCGCTCTCTACATATTACAAATTGTGAAATTTTGATTTGGATGTGTGTAGACACTCATTAGAGTGACCTGCAAATGCGAATTTATAAATCAAAATAACTTTTTGAAATTTCACAATCACAATTGAGATCATGTGTTATTCCCCATCGCAAAAACAGCGACTCATCTACAGTGAGCTACAGGTAACATACGGTTCGAAATGATATCGATACACATCCACGACATGGATATTTGTGTCAACACGCCAGTTTTCATTTTTGTATAATGCAAAATTATGTCAGGGTTTTAACTATTGAATTTTTAAACCCCGAATACATGAGCTACATATTTTAACACTAGATTTAAAAACTCGAATTACATAGGGGGATTTTATTGACGAACAAATTCTTATTGTTTCTTAGGGAGTAGTGAAAAACACGATCCAAGATAGGTATGAATTTTTCAAGATTTGTCTTTGACCGTTGCATTTCACGTCAAATTTTCAAATTGACGATAATCTGAAATGAAAAAAATCTATCTGTTACAAATCTTTAAAAATTCATGGCTGTTTTTAGTCGTATTTTTTATTGTTCTCTCGGTATTATTGCTCCTTTTCCTAGTTCCACTTAGTTCGTGTTTGATTACTGTTTGACTTAGTTTTTCTTTACTGTGAAATTTTCAATGTTATTAATTATTCAACATTTCCGGGTCATATTTTCGTTACTTTTTTTACAACTTGCTTCATTTCACCCATTTCTTAAGATCTCTTCTGTAACTAGGCATTACCTGTTGGACAATAAATGGTTTTTATTAATTTAATTTTTAATTCATCTGCTTATATCTCATTATTCTCTAATCTCACCTCATCCCCAAGGGCCTAGGGTAACTACCGATTTATCCGCGCATCACTTAAAAAGTGACCTACACTATTCTGATCTTCTAGTACTAACCTATTCTGACTGACATGATCAAAGTGTGCTATAGAAACTTACGAACAATGTCACATATTCCTAACGAAATACCTTTTAGCGTTTTGGCAATTATTGACTAACTATAGTACACATGTATACAATGTACAGTCGTTATATGTATAAATATCACTAAAGGAGTGCTTCAAAAGTTATGTCACTTTTATCTATCTATAAACGTGATATGTTCTTACAAGAAATAATGTCATGTTAGAAAAAAATATACGTAATAATAAATATATTAAATCAACTGAAGTAAATTATAGTATATATGTATATCATAACTTCATAACATTGAATTGGAATTTAAACTTGTCATTTAAAGGGAACGTATTTTCTCTTTCAGATCTCTAACTTTTCAATAACTTACAAGATACTGGTCATATAAGAGTCGGTAAATGGTACATTAATTAAAAAATACTTCAAGTACTCTTAGTTTTTATCAATATCACAACAGTACGCAACTTTTGTTCATTAACTTTATTCACACACGGACTATAAAATATAAATGAAAGAAAAAGGTTAATTTTGAAACAATATGACGTCATTTCCTCACTATAGCAAGAAATATAAAAAATTTATTAGAGACCTAATTCACATTTTTGTCATTATCTTCACAAATCCTTGAAATCAACTGCTACTACTTTATGAATATTTGAAAGTTACTTGTTAAAATAAAGTTTTGTTTATAAGCCAACGATACCAAATTTCAAAAAGTTATGCTGTAGTTTCGTTACAGCTAATATTTTTTTGAAATACTTATTTTTGTGGTTAAAATGCCAATTAGGTTGTACTCAGTGTATAAACTTCAGTGAATATATGTTATTTAAATTTGGAGTATACATAATTATGCTATAAAAAAACAGACGAGACTAGTGATGTTTTAGAATTTTAATTGGTTGTATTTTTAATGCGGATTGAGCGTATTTCCATTTTAAATTATACTTAGGTCAAAAATTCTCAACAGACGTGCATAAGATAATTTTTGCATAATTTTCCTCGAAATTTTAATTAGAACCCACCTGCAGCGCCTGTTATAAAATGTTCCGTGAAATCTAGCTGAAAGTCTATTACCCGCTTGAGACTTTTTTATCTAAATATACGTTACACATTAGCCATTTCGTTAAAATTAAATTACGCTGGCATGGTAATTGGCCGAGTGAATTGAAATAAACTTTGATTGGCCGTAAATCTCTTTTCCGACTCTCATTCACCACCTAAAAGATTTTTACATCGAGTTTTGTCACTTCAACATGTAACTGCTTAAATGGGCGACGGACGGCGTAGTCAAATTGCGACAATTTTTTTACAGCTTGTCCCTCGCAATTATGCGGGGGTTACAATCGCGTTGGAGCGAAATTAAAATCGATTTGAAGATTTGAGTTGGCACTTGTGTGAAGCAGGCTAACAGTGCAAAGCTCTTGAAAAGCCGATAGTACCTTTTTTATCTAGAAGACTGGCCACTGACGTAAATAACCTTCTTGGCGAGGGCTCGGCAAAGGGTTTTTGATAAAGAAAGGACAGATTTACAAGTGAAGTAGATCCGAGCAACTATCCATCAATATCGAATCTGTGTTATCAGCGATGACTATAATCATAATAGAATTAAAGGGACAGACGCAGGCGCCGAAGGCCAACCGGGTTTTGCGGCGTCGAGACGCCACTCGCTCCCGGTAGGTCCTTCCAGACGCTTCGCGGCATGTTCTCGATCCGCAACCCGCGCACTCGACCACCACCTGATAAGCGCGCTAATTACCAGCATTAAAACTCTTTCATAACCACAAACGGCGCTCTTACATATTAAACTTCAGTAGTTCCAGTGTTCTTTTAGCTGAAATTAGAAAACATTCTTAGAAATTTAAAGTAATTGTCGTTTAAAATAAGGTAGTCTTCTAAGGTGTACCTTGCTAGAGGTTTAGTGAACTTCCGCTTCTTCTTCTGTGATTTTTGAAATTTGTTATTGTGTAAAGTGTTTCTCAAGTGTTCCATTTGGATGTTAGTGTTTGAAGCTTGATGGACACCTAGATTAATAAGTTTGGATGCTCGAGACAGCACCACAGAACAATTGGATAGAAATGACACATTCGCAGTGAGCTCTAGAGAAGAAATAATAATGGTAACAAATTATAGTGTTGGTGGTAATGTTGAAGAACCCCTCTAAGAGCGATGGAGAACGCACGAGAACTTTTGTTCTTAGGTCTTTTGTTTGTAGCCTGCGTGGGTAAGTTGCACCGACCTTCTCTTTTACTTTTCCATTGTAGCATTGCTACCGTTATGATATTTTCTGTCATCAGTGCGATGAAGCACAATGACTTACACGAAAGAACAAACATCGATTGTGTGCCAGATAGAGAATTTGTAATGTGCACGACAATGGCACACTTCGGTTTGACAAACGTCGACTTCAAGCAATAATGCGAACGATAATATCACTGCAAATAAATCTACGTTTTACCATACATCAACTGGAACGAATTAAGTTTAGATAGGGGCAAAGCTAAATAAATATTTCAGATATTTCTTCATTTTCAACCTGCAAATATTATGCAAATCAGAATCAATCAAATATTCTGGAAGTTCTTTTCCTGGAACGTTTCTCAAATATCGAAATCAGAATATATAACTGAATGGTCGAATAAAAATATTTTTATGCAGTCTTGAAATTCTACTTACGATCAGAAAAACACTTAGAAATACCGATAAATAGTTTAGTGATATAAAACATAACCCAACTAAAGGCTTATTATTAGTTATGATAAAATATTAATCTATTTGTCTAAAGATCGGCTAAACGTTTAATAAGCCATTATCATGGAATGATTTAGTAATTTTGAAATAGTAATAAATTATGCAAATTGACATTAATTAATAAATTGGTCGTAATTGTGTGGATTGAGAGAAATATACAATAATTTATGTTTTAATTTGTATCTATCAGGATTACTACCCTCTGTATATCAGAGATTTCTAGTTATAATAAGATACAGAATGACAGTGTTTTTCATAAAATTTTGTACCTTTCCGGTTATTATTTAATTATTTACACTGTAATTGCAATTGATTTTTCTGTACCTACTGTGGATAGTTAACATGTAGTGATACTAATCGACATTTCTGACTACAAAGTGATAGAGATACGCCCAACTAACGGTTTAGCAGTGAGACTGCGGATAAATATTAAACATATTATTTATGGAAAAATAAGTCAATTAACTAAAAAAAAAGTAGAATATATACATATACATATATTAATATTTACTTTTTTGTATCAGCCGGTATAACTTTTTTTTGTGTGTGGTTCAATTTAATTTGTAGTTTTTATTATTTTTGGTAAAATTTCGGAAATGAAAAAAATACATTAAAATGTAACTCGTATCGATCTGCTTGCACCTTAGCATACTTTTACATTTCGTTAGCGCGGTACTAATTTTGTGAAAAAATGGGTAGGCCGGTCGTATCTTATCTGACGTTTGTGTAGAATAGGGTCACTTGGAAAAGCTGTATTAATTACTTGCCCGATTTAAAAATAAGTGAAAGGTGAGTATGTATGCAAGTGTTTAAATAAATTCTTAATTCTTAGATATTTACCACTATCAACTAACACCTGTTTTTTGAATGACGATTTACATTTTAGCTATTTTTGTGGTCTTATTTAACGAAGTATTTGATTCTTACTGATATATATCTTTGCGGTTAGGTGTATACTAACTGACATTTACAACAGTCATGCGCGTCAGGTCTTTCCTGCTGATAGCTGCAGCGTAAATCTTACGTTTTCATCAGGGGCGAGATTTATTTTATCATTATTCATTATTATCTCAAAACCCCTTAGTCAATGTTGTTAATTATTATTTGTCACAACAAAAAATTTTGACTAGCTACTTCATATCATTAAAAAATTTAATTTATTCTTAAAGCATATGATGTGATACTCACAAACCCGGAGAATCAACAAAAGTTTTAAGAAAACAGCGAACTCCATCTTTTGCTTTTTAAGTGACTGAAGTAGTGATACGAGAGCAAAACATTTTTTTTTAAAGACTAGTTGGAATAACGGATTAAATTGTTTAAATTACACCATTTTCGTACAAAGGACATATAATTGGTGTTTGTTAGGCGTCTTCACATGTTTATTTACATGATGTAGGAACGACGATTGTTTGTCGGTTAATTAACAATCGGTTAGATCCAACGTTTACAAAACCATTTGTTTACTATAATAATAGTTTTTATTTTAAAGAAAAGTTAAAACTATTCTCTGTATGTTTAACTATCGATTTGAGCAATCGTAACTACTGTCTTTTATAAATGCCTCACAACTTTTTACTATAAAATATATTATGATTTTAGTGGTCAATTTGTCAGTTGTTATGAAGTTGTGATTAATTTTGTGCTTTGGGTTAACTCAAGGTAATGAATAATCAAGAGATGCGTCAGTAATATTATGGGTTACCTATATTTTAGATGAAACATTTGTAGTTGGTTTTTCTGTCATTTCAAAAGGCTTTGATCGTGGTCATTTATCATACAAACAAGCACTCGTTGAAGCAAGGACGTAGGGATGTCTGACAGTTGGCCAGATTTCGATGAAAAATAGACTCCGATATTGTCAGAACACACTATTAAAAGTAAAAAGCTCTGAACTTGACTTCTACCTAACTGGGTGGAAAACAGAAATATAGATTTTATGTAGTTGATAACTTTTCGCTGTTTTAGAAATTAAGCTGAGTAAAAAATAGTAGTGTTTAAAATAAATTTATGAAAAGCTATAAAATTAAAAAATCTTTAACACAAAATCTAAAAATGTGACATTAATTTCCGGAAGAATTTTTGTTAATAACAAAAAAATTCGTAACCAATGTCCACCTAAAGTGTTTGTTTCCTACATGTTGAAATTCTACAAAATCTCTAAACGTCAATTAACGGATGAGCTCCTATTGTTCAGTTGCTCGAACTAGTTGTAAGTCTCCGGGTAAAGTGCTTGCTTTAAGTTGTTCCCGAAAATTTGTGTTTGGAATTTCTTGGAAGGTAAGTCAACGAGATCTCTTTAAGCATAGGTAAATATTTTTTTCATTAGGCACTAAACTAATAAAATAATTACTGTCAACAAACTGGTACTATGAACTACGTTTTTTTTAATTTCTTCAAAATTCCTTTGTAAGATAGTAATAGACAATTTCATGTTCATATTCATATTTTTTTTTTGTCTACATGTATTTAGGGCATTATGTACTTTATCCAGGTCGATTTTGTTGTATCAATACTCAAAATATAAAAATACATGATATTTACTTGTACATATACCAAATCAATAATGTGCTTACTCGCCTTTGATGTCTAATGAGGGCGATTTTGAATAGGCAATGCTTTAATGCGATACTAATGATCTTCCCACTGTATCATTTTTGCTGCTGTTGGTATACCTTTGGACATGATTTTAAATATGCATAAACTGATCAATTACCATATTTAGTTCTAAGTACGACACACATTTTTAGTTTTACCATAATTAAATAGTGCGCTAAAAAAACTAGCTGCTTGGCCACTTTATATTGGATCTTTGTGATTTTATTTTTCTTATTTTTACTATTATGGATTTTTCCGGAATTGCAGCGATGACTGTTAAATTAGAAAACCCATGAAATAGTAAACTGTAATATATTTTGAAGGGAATTCAACATTTTATCTTGTGTAATGACAAAACGGGAACAGCAACATGACTATTAAGGCTACAAATGGCAACTGATGTTTGTTTAACTCGGAAGCTCAATTGTTGTTATGGAGTTTTATCTGTACAAAAATTTACACTGGGGTTTCTTAAGTAAGTGCTAGGCGCTTATAGTTGTAGAAACCAGTACATCACATTCTTGGACAACTAACTATATTAAAGTTTTCACAACTAATTGTACGGGTGACTTCATTCATTAGTACGAGTAGGATTATTTCCACTTGTTTGTTTAAGTGTAATAGGACAAGGGCAACCATCTGTGAAAGTTTACGATTTATTTAAGAAACATTTAATAATGTCACCACATTTTAATTTATACACGTTCTCAAAAGTAATATTTTTAATAGATTATTTTACAATTTGTGAACAAGAGAGGCTTCAACATATGAAGGTTTTTTTTGGGCAACATTTTGTCACGTTAACAGCTGAGTTCGTTTCCTATAACCTATTTTATCGGTCCAGGATATGTAGAGAGAACACTTCGCGGTTTAACAAACGAATTCGAAATTCGTATGAATAAAATTACTTTAGAAAGAACGAAGGAAAATTTATGGAGCAACAATGCGAATTTTCAAACATAAAACTCAGTAAGAACCTCGACGAAGGCGGAAAGGCATGTTGATTAAAATGCTGTAAAATTAGACATCATTAAAATATAAAAATAAATATATGCGAGGATAGCCGTCCATTTCAAATTACTCTGTTAAAATTCGTGATATCGTTAACATAAAATTGTATTGTTCTTGAGATCATTACTTTTTATAATTTTTTTTTGAACGGTGGTTGTAGCTTCTATAATTTAAAATCAAAAGTTTGGATATTTATTAGTTGAAATAAGGAAATAAGTAATTACTAATTAGGATACTGATGAGACGGAACTAAATGCTATAACCATTTTTTTTTCTTTTTTCTAAATAGAGGATAACTGAACTCAGTGAATGAATCATTGGGTTTTATTCCAATTTCTTTTACTTTGCAGAATATTTTTGCTTTGAAGGACTTACTAATTTTTAATTAACCAAAGGCAAAACATTTCCATTATAATATCTTGTTATTTAGAGCCACCACTAAATGGTAAGTTGATTTTCAGACACTTTTTACCTGAGTCCTTCCTTAATCCTTACTGTATTGCCTTACAATTTTAACACAAAATCCTGAACTACTGCAAAATTTTTAGAATGTTAAAGACCAGCTTTTATCCAAGTTTTCCATCACATAATTATAGGATGCGATGGCAAAGGTAAATTTGAACATGTCTATCTCTTTGTACAGAGAAATTCGGAAGTATGCCTCGAGCATGATATTTTTAAAAGTATTGATTATACGTTAACGTACGCGAATTCTTTTTGAATTAATTCACAAACTCGATAACGTGCATGTGAAGAATATATTACTTCTAATGCATTTGGATAATGCTCTTTTAAAAGTTTTGCCATTGCCATATATAGCATGACCGCAATACTTTTTTGAATCATTAATCGTATCAATAAATT